AACCAAATCGTGATTTCGGGTTCATTTTAATTAATCGTGCAGCCCTACTGTCTACACCTTCATACCTCTCTTCCCACATCAATGCATCACACATATCTGAGGCCCTGTTAAACTTTACACCTGGTATTAAGATGCGTTTTGGTCGATCGGATCACAAGTAGACGAGGGAGACAAGTACCTGTTTACAACTGGTGTTTTAATCCGTCTCTTTTGTCCACTTTCAACCACTTCTGTCCTGATTTCTTTGACAGGAGAGTCTATGTGCAGTTAAATGCACGGGCTTTTACAGATCTTTTGATCTTGGCTAATGGATGAAATAAGCTCATGCAATTTACATGCAGAGAGCAGCAGCTTTCGTTTCTGCTCTGATATCCATTAGGGATGTGCGAGACTATTCGACTATTAAACGAAACTGCTGCTGCTGCTAGTCGACTTTGCTTTATATTTTTTACAAAGGCTATGTTTAAATTACCATCATGTTAATGTTACATTTTAAAGTTAAAATATTATCTTGAAAAGTTTACTATATCTGGAGCGGAAAATAAAATAATTTAATTTAACCTCAGATTTTGAAAGCGTTCGTTTTCTCTGTGGCACTCGCGGCGGCGGGTTCAGAGAAATGTCCACTCGGAAGATGAGCAAAGTGCGGGAGTATTTTGAAAGCTTACACAAAACCTTTCCGTTTTCTTCTATGTCATCTATACATATTCTATGCTTTCTAAGAGGCTATACTACCGGTTATGAGGGGCAATACGGTATGATATTTTATATCGGATTAAAGGAGAAACATTATGACTAGGTTTAGTCTATTCGACTAATCGGTTGCAAAATTTTCGTTTAAACGTTAATGAAATTAGTCATTGCAAATATCCCTAATAGTCGCAAGACCAGTGTGTGCGAGATAGAAATCAGGAATGGTGAGAGAACATTGTGCTTGCTGCTTGGTAAGTTCTTTTTTCTTTAAACCAAACTTGGGTCTTCAGCCGACAAAGTTTAGCTAAATCCCGTCTGGCTAGCACACTTCCCATAATGTTTACGCATTAGATCAGAAGGCGGAGAGCAAGCGGTCTTTTGTTTACACTATCAAAGCAATCCGGTCAAATGCGTTTTCGACTACCTCTGGAACTGGTCGAAAGTGGACAAGCTCAAAACGTTTTAGACCCTGTTAACACCTGTATTTAGCGTTGTCCACTTAGCATCTTAATACCAGGGGCCAGACCAGTTGCACAAACTTAGCCACTATGTTAAAGGGGTCATATAATGCCATTTTTGTACAAGCTAATATGATTCTTTAGGGTCTTACTTAAAAGTTTGTAATATACTTTAATTACAAATTCTCATTAGTATTGTAAGAAAACACTTATTTTACTTGGTCAAAAACAGCTCTGTTTTCAGCACGCCGTTTCAGTGCATATGACTTTAAATGATAATGAGCTTCGCTCACCCCGCCTCTCTGTTCTGTGCATACACCGTTTGTAACACAATAACACAATAACCATAACGCGTTGTTCAGTATAAACGTGGGATTATGAATTATATTGAGAACATCATACATAGAAAACATGCCGTAATGTACCCTAAGTGTAAACCTTAGACGCATTCATTGTGAAGCGTGCAGCTAGCGATTTGCAAAGATTAATATAAATATTAATATAAAGTTTAATAAAACGTTACACTCACATCAGTTGTTCTAGAGGTTCAGCAGGAACACGAATATCTGGTACCGATCCTTTTTTCATGAGCAGCTTCTTAGCAAAACCAGCTTTATACTGATCCTCCTTATAAAGCAGTCTGCTGAGAAATGATTCGCGCAAACATGAGAGCATTGACGTTGCTCGTGGGGAATATTCCCTTCGAAAACAAACTCAGCCACTGCGTCTTCAGCGGTTCGGATTTAGGAACATTAAAATGACTGCTGTGTTTCGTTATTACACCCAAGAACAGAACACCACAATCGCTTAGACGCCATTCTGCTCATAGACAGTGCTCCAGCATATCAACAATGACCGCGCCGGTCCGCGCAGACTATGATCGCAGACTACGAGCGAGGGCGGGTCAGTGTTGAAACGTTGCTGTCAATCAACAATCGTGGGAGGGGCTTCCGAGCGTGTGACGTCACAAGGTCGAACGGCTTGATTTGAGACAGGGGAAAACATATAAGGAGATTAAAACAAAAACACTGGATGGATTTTTATCATTTTATGATGGTTGTGTACAGGCACTGCCAACACACATTTCAGTACAATCAACTTGTAAAAGTGCATGTACCATTATATGACCCCTTTAAGACTGTATCTTAAGAGCAGTTTATGTAACCAGGCCACAGATGTAGCCTAAACAGAACCTGAGAATGAGGCTGAAACACTTGAGACTATCAGCCTACTTGCTAGTTCCACACAGAACTGTAAAACATTTGCTGATAACATTTGATGCTGGTGTTTGTCACTAGCGTGGATATTAACTTAGTGCATGACCAACACAGGTATTTCGATGGTTAATGCAATCCAACAAAATAAGGCTGAACACATACAATACCATTCAAATATTTGAGGTCAGTATAAGCTTATTTTACTTTTATTCAGCAGGATGCATTAAATTAAATAAAAATTTAGATTACAAACATTTATAATATTACAAGTTAAAAAAAATGCTGTTCTTTTGAACATTCTATTCATCAAAGAAAAGAAAAAAATCCTGGGAAAAAACATTGATAATTATAAATGTTTTTTTAAGCACCAAATGAGCATATTAGATTGATTTGTGAAGAATCTTGTGACACTGAAGACTGGAGTTGGCTGCTAAAAGTTCACTGTTGCCATTACAGGAATAAATTATATAAAAATAATTTTAAAAATGTAATAATTTTTAAATTGTACAACAAACAAATGCAACAACAACAAATGAAAAAGTTATTTTACACATTTGTTTTACACTATAATAATAAGAATAGAAATTAATTACTACATTTAATAATTATTTGGATATAAATGTAATTATTCTGGATATAAATATTTAAATCCATTGATAATATCTTCAAACCGTCTCTGAAGAGTCGCACCGTTCTCTATGTTCTATATATCCAGCAGGCCATCAGATTTCATCAGTCTGACAGGCCAGACTCACTGAAGGAACGTGGCAGTGAGGTAATATGATTCTAGAGCGTGCTGGCATTAACACCTCTCGCTCTACTCTGAAAACAGATACTGTCTCCTTGAAAGAAAGCCCATCTGATCCAGAGCCAAAATCCTCCATCATCCGTTATAACATCATTTATTTGTGCAGTAACTCCACACCTGTACCAAGACTGCCTGCCATAATAACCTACTATTATTTATTGTCATCAACAGCACTGAATAATTTTATGGAACAATTGATCTTCGACTTAAGTACGCGCATCAAGAGCAGGGAAGGTTATCTCTGTGACTGTGCTGCTGATAGAGGTTACCTACGGCCACCTCTGAGCTGAATTATATCACAGCATGCAGTGAACACTTATCTTTAAACAACACAGAACAGCCAGCTGACTCGCAGCTTGTGATCTGAGGAAATGATAAGATTGTCAATTGTGCTCCTAATAATGGAATCACATCCAGCCCTGGCTGGGATTGTACTTTTGGTGACTTGGCAACATAAAAAGGTAGGCTACATCTACAACAAACAAAGCCAAGCCAAAATGTGTTGACACAGTGAAGCACTTACAAAGTCTATGGGTCAACTGTCACACCCCCATATTTCACATTATGTAGGCCTACATTAGTCAACACACACACACACACACACACACACACACACACACACACACACGTCGTCACAAATACTGTCAAGAGCATATTTAATCCAGAATATTAATTGAAACTCACTCCATAAACAAGTAATTAAGGTGATATGATGCTCTCCAAGTGAGGTAAAATGATTTGAGTCTATAATAAAATATAAACATCAAAAGTGTAGACAAGTTACACATAAGTTACTATAGTCACTTTGTGTAAACTTTTGCAGCTAGGAACACAAGAATAGATCAATAATTGAAAACTCGCGCTTTATTTCATCTCCTTTACTAGCTCATCAAACTGTCAGAGTCCATTGAAAATTCAAAAAGGAGGTTGATAAAATAAACCAGAACACTTAACAGTCAATTTTATTAGCACATAAACACTTTTAATATGCCTAGTAAACAGCCCAGTGTGTCTAGAGTCCGAGACCATTTTCATCAATGACACAGGCTCTTAATAATCCACAAATTATCAACATAAACTATAGATGTCTGTAATATGACTGGTGAAATACATCATTCCCCTTCACTTCCCTTAGGCAATTCAGTCGTAAAATAAAACGATAACGCCCTTTCCATGTCAGCTTTGATCCATGGTATCTCAGTAATCACACCAGAGAGTATGACGAGTTCGCGCTATCAGATTTCTGAACCTTCCCGAAGGCAACAATGCGACATTTGTGCCCTAATGGCTGTAATGAAGGTAACGTTAGATGGACAATGGCAGTCCGTGTATCGATCAAAGAAACTTCTAGGCAATTTCAACAGGTTGTTTAAATCCATAGTTTTGCCATTTTAAACATGTAGCTTCATAATCATTATTACTTAATCCAAACCAGCAGGGCATCTATCTCAAGACCTAAGTGAACTGCCACTTTTTGGGCGTAGAAAGCGCTTGATGCCTACAAATGCTGTCTAGGTAGGCAGCTCATTAGGTTTTGAGAGACAGCCGTTGTATGAGCTTGGCGTGCCCTCAAAACTAAACAAACAGTGAAACATAGAACTTTTAAATCTTATAAACTGTCTCTTGAATGTCTATAGAGCTTTATTTGATACAAATGAGAGTGTGTTTTAGGGCTATGCTGAATATTTGCATTGCTAACACAGCTAGCTGGCCACTTCCCGAAGTGCAGCGCTGCTTTCTTTCCCAGGCAACCTGTTGCAAACAACACTTAACTTACGCCGCGTTTTAACGGCCAAAACAACTTGAAAGTGTCGCTTAGCTTACCTCTTCAGTAAGATGTGCCGTTCTTTTAGTCCAATTAATGTAAAAATACTCCAACAAAAGCGGTTTTGTTCACAGAATATCACATTAGATTGTTGTCATGTTGTGTGACGGGTCGCTGTGGCTAGAGACTCGAGTCTCGGTATTGTGTGTGTGAGACTGACGGAGAGCGGCTCAACAGCGCCTCCGGCAACTGCATGAGACGACGCTTCTGATTGGACAGATCCACCATGCTTAAACTCCACCGTCCAATCAGGTGTGGTTTTCCTTGAGAACGTAGAGTCGATTACAAACCGGTCGGTTTCAATTGAACCGAAAGGATTGGAATTTTTTAAGGCTTGTTCAGGTTTTAGATTGTAACCACTTTCAATGTTGTCGTTTTGGATCTACAATAATATTGTAGATCCAAAACGTTAAGTAAAAAAAAAAGAAGCATAGACTTATGGTATAGCAAATTGTCCACTGTGAATAGTGTACATTCAGGTATTCACCTATTTTTTTATTATTTATTTTTACAGTCTATGGTAATCACCTAACTTGACAAACTGCTTTTTGCCTGCTATATTGCCTAGTATGTCGATCTTTAATAATGCTAAAAGTAAATAGCTTATATTTCAAGAGAGTATCAAAAAATATATTATTGAATATTTATTAAGTTAGTACATATTTAAAAAAAGAATATTTAAAAAAATATATTTAGTAAATAATAAACATAAATCATACATGCATGAAAATAAATGACAGATATGGAGAACTCAATCAGCTTTCAGAGTTTATTTAAAAAAAGAAACTGAACCACATCTTTACATAATGATCAAGAATTTTAATTCTCGCATTAGATCAGTATTACAGAAAATGATATTATAGTACAGAGTTTTTCAATATCTTTTCAATACCATAGTATATTCCTTAGGAGTGCTGGTCACTTGTCTGTACAATATCACTCTTGCATTTTTTTGACTGTACATTTTATGTAATTTGTTTAAAAAGGCTGTCAGCACTTAAATAAGCTGTCTTCATCTTCGAAGTTAACAAATAAAAGTTTCCAGGGAGCTCAGCCTCTAGGATTGGGCTGGGCGAGTTTAAATGTAAGGGTAGTGGGTAAAATAGAGAGTAATAAGGGCAGAGCTATGAGGGCCAGTTTATTATGAAGTATGTTTCAGACTGAGGTAGCCTGTAACACAGGACATGCCTCTGTGTGTGCTGAAGTAGCACAGACTTTACACAGACCCTCACCCATCATCGTTTTGCAAAAACGATCCGTACAAAGTCTGTGATATCGGCGACACCCGCTGCTTTTCGGCGTCATGACCACAAGACCCACCCCCCCCCACCCCCCCCACAGCCCTGGCTTTTGGCACTGCGCACATAAACACGACTCACAAGATAAACGACAAGCAAAGCGGTTTTGTAAACCCTTTATGAAGCATAATGAAGTATTTATGGAGCATATAATACTAAAGGGAAAGAAGCTGGGTCACCTTGGTGCACTTTGAGGAGAGATGAAAAGATCCAGCTCCCGTCGGGGATCCAAAGGGGTCCCCGCTGTCATTTTGAAGAGCTTTTCATTCCTCAGTGACACATTTTCTACCGATGAGAAAATAAGCTTTCTGATGTAAGTGTGACAGGCGCCAACAGCTGTCTATTAAAATGCTACGGCTATCTATAAGTTCTAGCATTGAACACACAAAGCAATTGCAATGAAAGAGAACAGAGTTGCTTAATATGATAATATTCATCATTATATTAATAATCATAATAATTATAACAATATATTACAGAATAAATCTCTTATATTTCATATATATATATATATTATCACTTTAAAAGGTATAATATTTTCTGTCTTTGAAATACTATGTCTTCGAAGTCGTATTTTCATAAATTTCACATATTCGTCTGTTCGAAATGTTGATTATACTGGATCAACTTCTCCCAAATCAATAAAAACTAGCTGTGCCGTTGCATATTACAGAATAGTAATGATATGTGGACATGCACCACTTTCTTGCTCTATACTTGGTCTGTCCCCTTAAGATGACATCATAGCCGTCCTATGACCATGACGTCCACGACTTCACCCTTGTGCAACTCCACGTATTGCTCTGTTTTCGGAGGCAACATCAGAAGGCCGTTGGCACTTCGCATGCTCATTAGCCGACTACTCATTTGGTTTCCTGAGAAACAGAGCAGGGAATTGCTATTTAGCATACTGATAAGTTACTTATAGCATGTGTCTGTGAATATACACATAACTAATTATGTATACCTGTGCTCTGTGCCCAGGGAAGTGGTTCCTGGTGGTGCCATGTCAGTATACAGCGATGATATTCTGGACGTGGATCCAACTTTACATCACATGACAGCTGCGAAGAAAAGGACACACACTGATGACATCCCAGAAGTACAGAAACACAATGCAAGTCACAAAAACTTGAGCTTTTCTGGCTGTGCTCACCCTGGCTTTGATGATGGTGGGCCGTGGGTCCAGTATCCCCTGCATCTTTCTTAATGCAGGAATGACAAAGAGGTTACAGGTTACAACAGCTGACACTGGGTTACCTGAGAGAGAAAGGAGAGATGACTGTTGAGGTGAAGACTATGGCTGTGACTGTGGGGTGCAGAATCTAAACTGTGGATCAGTAGTAGATAGGAAATCAGTTCTGTCTCCTGATAAAGCACCACTGATGTCTATAAAGCAATTTAAATTTTGTCATTTATTTACCCTCATGTCGTTCCAAACTAGCAGAATGTTTGTGCTGCTCTTTTCCATTCATTTCATGTATACAATGATCAGTGGCAGTCAAGCTCTACAAACAACAAAACAGCATAAAAGTACCACTAAAAAATGTCTAAAGTCATGCAATAGGTTTCCAAGAGGAACTGACAGCAATTTTAATCATTATTTGCTGAAAATATACCAATATCTGCCATCTCAAATCTAATTATTGTAAACTGCATTCATACGTTTGGGTTTGGTAAGATTTATTTTATGTTTCTGAAATAAGTCTGTTATGCTCGCCAAGGCTGCATTTATTTGATCAAAAACACAGTAAAAACAGTAATACTATCTATTTTAAAATGTAATGTATTCCTGAGATGGAAAAGCTAAATTTTCAGCAGCCATGATTTGGTGCATTTCTTATCATTAACTACGTTGAAAATGGTTGTGCTAAGTAATATTTTATTCGAAACTATATTAATATATATACAGTTGTGGTCCGAATTAATGCCACCCCTGGTAAATATGGGGAATCACAATATGAAATAAATGTTTTTTCTCCAAAACACGTTGGCCACAATTATTGGCACCCCTAGAATTTTTTACGAGTAAAATATCTCTGAAGTATATTCCCATTAATATTTACCTTTTTTTTTTAGCACACCAGGGTGACTAGGAACATGAAATTGTCTAGCTATGACTTCTTGTTTCACAGGAGTTTAAATATGAGGAAACACAAGCTAAATTCCCTTAATCATCCATTACAATGAGTAAAACCAAAGATTATAGTTCTGATGTGCATCAAAAGATTGTTGAGCTTCACAAAATAGAAAGTGGCTGTAAGAAAATAGCTAAAGAATTGAAAATCCCCATTTTGACCATCAGGGCAATAATTAAGAAGTTCCAATCAACTGAAGATGTTACGAATCTGCCAGGAAGAGGACGTGTGTCTATATTGTCTTAATGCACGGTGAGGAGGAGAGTTTGAGTGGCCAAAGACTCTTCAAGGATCACAGATGGAGAATTGTAGAGATTAGTTGAGTCTTGGGGTCAGAAGCCTACCCAAAAAAAAAAAAAAAAAAAAAAAAACCTACATCCCCAGATGTTGTTTGGGAGGGTTTCAAGAAAAATCCACCTCGCTCGTCCAAAAACAAACTCCAGCAAATTCAGTTGGCAGACATGACTGGAACTTCAAGTGGCACAGGATTCTGTGGTCAGATGAAACTAAAAAAAGAGCTTTTTGGCAGCAAACACGCTAGATGGGTTTGGTGCATACAAGGATAAAAAGTACCCCATGTGTACAATTTAATATACTGTTGGATCTTTAATGTTGTGGGCATATTTTTCTGCTGGAGGTCCTGGACTTCTTGTTCAGATACATGGCATCATGGATTCTATCAAATATCAACAGATAAAAAATCTAAATCTGACGCCTTCTGCTAGAAATCTTATAATGGGCCGTGGTCGGATCTTCCATCAGGACAACGATCCAAAACAAACATCAAAATCAACACAAAAATGTGTTACGGAGCACAAAATGAAGCTTCTGCCATGGCCGTCCCAGTTCCCTGACCTGATGAGTGGAGTGAACTGAAGAGAAGAAGCACCAACATGGATCTGGGAATCTGAAGGATCTGGAGAGGTTCTGTATGGAGGAATGGTCTCTGATCTCTTGTCAGGTGTTCTCCAAACTCATCAGGCATTATAGGAGAAAACTCAGAGCTGGTATCTTGGCAAAAGGAGATTGCAAAAAGTATTTAATAAAAGGGTGCCAATAGTTGTGGCCAACGTGTTTTGGAGAAAATAATGCGATTTACCCCCCACTTTCAATTCTTTTACCTCACTGAAAGATTCCATTTTTGCAAATTTTTTTTAATGAAAGATCAAAAGGATAAACAATGCAGATTTATTTTTTACAGCCATTGTTGATCATATTTACCAGGGGTGCCATTATTTCTCACCACAACTGTATATTAATTATATTACATTCATATAAATATATATATATATATATATATATGAATATATTTATTTTTCAGGATACTTTGATTATTTTAAAGTTCAAAATAACAGCATTTATTTGAAATAGAAATCTTTTGTAACACTTAATATATCATTGCTGAAAAAAAAAAAAAAATTTTTTTCAAAATAAGGTCATTCAAATTAAAAAGAGCAGAATAAAGATTTTACTAAGCTTATTTTGTGTTCTTTGGAAAAAGGAAAGTCATACGAGTTTGTGACGAGACGAGGGTGAGTAGACGATAACAAAATCTTCATTTCTGGGTCAACTGCCCATTTAAAGAGTCTTTTTTTATGTCAGAGTTCAGTTTGTCAGGTTGGTGTGAAAGCTACACTCATGTTGATGATGCAAATGTACATTTGTATTCGTGTAGATTGCGGAGCCCAGTAATACTGGGGCTGGGGGAAGGAATTGAACTCTGGTTCGGACCAAACCAATCAAATAAAGTAACCCAAGACTCTCTGATAAGACAAATGTGTAGCACACTACTGAAATCAGTCAAAGAAGAGTGTGTCGAGTGCAGAGGTGCTGCACCACATCAACAGGAAGGGAAGAGGGGCATTGAAAGCAAAAGGAGGACAGGACTATTTCAGACAAATAGCAATTTCAAGACACTAAGCCACATCACGGTACACAAACGGAAGGGCTTTGAGAGGTTGCAAAAGAACTAATAACTACAAGGAGTGCCATGGACGCAAAAAAAAGAAAAAGCAAAAACACAAAGCTTCTCTCAGAAAACAGAACAGAAAGCGTCACATTGGAAAATCAGAACAAAAATATTATTTCCTATGTTTCATTTCATTGTGTTTTAGAGGTTGTTAGATTAGACAAGGCTTTTTCATGTTTTATTAATATCTTGTGTCCGTAATAATTATATCATACTGGTCCCAAATGAGCCCAAGTGCACTAAAAAGAGATTTCGTGTTAAATCCTGTTCTGATTTCGAAAACCAGTTAATTAGGGTTTTGTGTCAAAATTTCAAGTCCATTTCCGTTTTCTGAGCGCGGGCTGAAGACAGGGCTTATTTCCTGAATTAAGAGCACCTACTTCCTCGTGGGGGAGGAGGCACAGGCAGTCTGCTGGCCTCGCTGTCACTCAGGGGCACAGTCTCCAGAAGAGTCGCCCCTGTGTCTCTGTAGGTGAAATTACCTTTAAAGGGGAATATAGAAATTGCCACTGTCACCACTGCCTCGACCACCTGGTTTTTGAAGGCACAAGGTGGGAGCACAGTGGGCTCGGGATGGGGGCAAGCCTGGGGAAGCTGATCGGGCCAGTGGGCAAGAAGGGAAATGTAGGTTTGCAGAAGGGTACATAAGTGGGTAACCGTGGGCTGATTATATTTAATGGAGAAGGGACCATTTAGTTTGGAGATGGTACTATATAGATATGTAGGTTTATGTATATACTTAGAATAAGGGAAATTGTTCTAATTGGTACAATACATACATGGGGAAAACAGGAAACTCAGTCACCTGGGTTTGTGTATGTACGTGTTCTCATTTGTGTAAAATGAGAACATTTTTCCTGTCAATACTTCTCTGTTCGCATGTCGAATAGATGGCGTATTGTACCTGGAAGGGCGAAGATCAGCTTTCTTGTACCGTCAATGTCTAAGGTGGCAAACGTAGTAGGCAAACTGAAACAGAAATAGAATAAAGCTTTAATATTCGGAATTCCAGGGAAAACCAAAATCATTAAAAACAAAAAGGGTTATTATCACAAATTATTACACGACTCTCTAAAACACTTAATTCTGATTGATCATTTAGGGCATTCGGCGATCAGAGATCACACTATAGACTCAAGCTCTTTTGGTTTATACTAACGCCACTGGCATCATCTTGTATCTCAGTCATCAATTGTAGTGAAATCAAACTCAAATGAGATGAATGCCACAAATGACCAATCAGAATCAAATATTCTAGAGAGCCATGCAATCAAAACTGGTGTTATTAACTAAATCTATTAAAAAAAAACAATTACACAAGTCAACAAAATATACAACATTGTTCTAGTGGTTTTTGGATATTTGAATCCAAAAATCTTACATATTGTGCCTTTAAGCTGAAATAAAATAAAATATAAATGTAAAAATAAAATAAAATATAAATATGAGATGAAAGACAAACAAAAATTAAAATGTTGACTATTTTATTTAACTGAAATAAAAATACATTTCTATAAATAAATGACTAAATACATGTATTACTAAAAATACAACTGAAATAAAAATATTTTTTTAAACTAATAAAATGACAAAAGCACATTTACAAATTACTAAAACAAACAAAAATAAAAACTGAAAAAACAAACAAAAATAAAAGTAAATGTAACATAAAACTATAGAACTATATAAATAATACTAAAAGAACACTGATATAAACAACATGTAGCTCTTTTTCTGTTTATTTTGCTTTGTCTTTGAATCAGATTACATGCCAATGTTCAAAAACCATCTGATGCATATTGCACACAAAAATAGCAAGAGCTGAAGAAAAATGATTGGCAGGGTACTTTGCAACTTTTGGGAGTCAGGGTGCAGTGGTTCTTATCAATATTTTAGCTTTGCCAAAATTTTGGAGTTCATGGCGTTAAACACTTGTAAGAGTTTTTCGGCAGAGCACAACCAAATGCCTCCCCTCATGTCAGTTTACGCAAGTCTAGCTCTGTATGACTAACACTGCTTCTCTCACTCACCCTGGCTTCATAAACACTCGACCGAAGTGGATCTGGGCATGGAGGTCTATATCCAGCACTTGCTTCAGGTAGTCCTAAGTAGGGAAAAAAGAAAAAGAAAACAGACGTTAGTGGCGCGTGTGTGTTTGCATTTCTCCTCTTATGTAGTACAACAACACATCTATCCCCGCCTGGTGAAGTGAAACATTGGGTAATTAAAGAGCTCTAATTAATAGGGCGGAAAATCAAGAGCAAGAGGCGGTCAGTGCACTGCTGCCTGGGCAAAGACCCAAAATAAAAGGTCAGATTAACAAGTGTTGCTTTGTGGCAAAAAACAAGCAGTAACACTAGATGGCAGTAAAACACACGGTGACCTGTGGCATAAGCTCTTAAAGGGTTAGTTCACCCCAAAATGAAAATTCTGAAGCCTATCGAGGAGTGAGACAGCTCTCAGATTTAATCAAAAATATCTTAATTTGTGTTCCGAAGATGAACAAAAGTCTTACGGGGTTGGAACAACATGAGGGTGAGTAATTACTCACAGAATTTTCATTTTTGGGTGAACTAACCCTTTAAAGTGTTTTGATCTGAGATCTCTTGGCCTTTGGGTAAGCCAATGGAATCCTCTCCTTGACATGAAGCAGATTGATCTGTGAGGCCGCATTCCTTTATTGAAAAGCTCAGACATTTCAAGCATGTGACCTTGCATACACTTCCAGACAACTCCAATCAACTGACCTTCTCACCCATGGACACGCCCCCGGAGGTGATGATGACATCAGCACGACTAATGCCCTCGTTTAGGGCGTTCAGCAGGTCGTCTGGGCTGCAGGGAGAGTTAGAAAACATGTTCATGCCAAATGACTTCCATTTTCTCTTTGCCACATCCATTACTGGCATATTGGTTGAAAGTGTCAAATGTTTGCTTACGCCAGGTTCACACATACTTTATTTCCCGTGCCCTTGTTAACAGATTATAGCATTCACACCGCACACGGATGCGGTCCGGCAATGTGTTCCAGGAGTAGTGCGTATTGTTTCCGCACTGTCTATTAAAGTGACAGTGTATTGTTCACATAAAAATGAACACAAGGCTTTTTGCCCAGAGTAAAGCAAGGGAAACTACACCTTACCTCATATTTAGATAAAACAAGTCGTCTCTTCGTAGAGGTGGAAAAACAAACTTCTTTATGACCCGCATTTCTTGTATGTAGATTTAAATCCCCAAAAAAGGCATGAGTCACTTGTTTAGTCAAAGTGCAAGTTTCACTTTAAAAGAAAAGTATGTTTAAATGTTATCCCACTTTCTTGAGCAACCAATGTATAAAACTAGAAGTAATGAATTGAATAATATATTGTTTAAATTTAGTGTACTTAAACGTGAATAAGTCTATGAAACGTTGCATAACTGTAATGTGTACAAAGAGAATGACAATGCTGAAAAAGCATTTTCAGTAACAACTTCTTGATTTGAAATAAAAATTACAAATAAATGTTGTGTTTGTGGTATACAGAAAAGGATCAGTTGCACACTGCAAACGTGTCATATGTGAAAGCACATGAACCCGTGCTGCTTCTGCACTGCGTACTGCAAACGGAGTATGTGTGAACCCGGCGTTACACTGTTGCTAGTGCAAATTGAATGCAAGAAATAACCTGAATTTAATATTTTTATTCATCAAGGACACATTTAATTGATCAAAAGTGACAGTAAAGACTTTTACATTGTTGCAAAAGATTTATTTGAATCTTTTTTACATCGTCACAAAAGATTCAAATAAATGTTGTTCTTTTGAAATTTGTATTCATATAAGAATCCTGAAAAAAAAGCATGTATTACAGTTTCCACAAAAAAATTAAGCAGCACAACTGTTTTTAGTATTGATGATAAGAAATGTGTCTTAAAAACAAATCAGCATAATAAAATGATTTCTGAAGGATCATGTGACACTGAAAATAGGAGCAATGGCTGCTTTGTCATCACAGGAATTAATTACTTTTTAAATTATATCAAAAGAGTAAAGTTATTTTAAATTGCAATAATATTTCACAATATTACCGTTTTTACTATATTTTTGATCAAATAAATGCAGCCTTGGTGAGCATAAATCTTACTGACCCCAAACCTTTGAACTTTTTTTTGTTTATTATTAATATTTAACCGGCAATACTTCAACTGAAAAAATAAAATAAAACACCTGTTCTTCTGTCCTTCCTTTTTTTTCTTTTTTTTTTTGATAGACTTCATTGGATATGTCAGCAGAATTACATAAAGCAATAAATAATACATTTCAAAATACACAATATCTTGTTATATTTTATATTTATACTAAATGCATTAAATACTTCAGTCAAACTCGTTTTTAATCACTTATCACTGAAACTTTCAATGTAAACCTATTTGTAGTTGCTCCTTATACATGTTTTTGTAAACATCCTTACAGTATATGTATGTGAATACAAATAATGGTGGAAAAATACTTCAGAGGACTGCAGGAAGTGCTGTCGTTCGGTAAATTCTGCTGAGACGTTGTATGATCCTGTATCGATTCTAATATATGAGCTGGAGTTTCAGAGGCGTGCTGAGGTTGGAAAGATTTAGATATGTGCAAAGCTGACTGTGTGAGTGTGTGTGCGTGTGCGTGTGTGTGGGCGGTAAAGGAGGGATGCTGACTTGTCTCCGACGATGCCGAGGTTGATGGTGGGATAGCCGTGCTCCTGAATGGTGGCCAACAGTGTGGATCGGTTACTGTCCCTGATCTTGCCTGGGTGGAGGTCATCCTCAGGGTTCAACAACTGCACACATAAGCATATATAAACACGTTCAAACTCGTTTTAAATGACCATGAGCAAAAGAGTAACAAAGCGTGCCCTACCTCATTGCCAGTGGACATGACTGCTACAACTGGGAATTTCTGCACCTCCACCTCTGTGACTCCTACAGTGGCCAAGAGGCCGATCTCAGATGGACCCATGTGAGTGCCCTTTGCCAACACACACTCTCCACGCTTGATATCATGACCTATAGGCCTGTGTGTGACACAAGCAAGTGACTAGACTATAACATCAGCCTTTAAAATACCAGTTTACATTATTCTAAACAAATGAGCCTGATTAAGAATATTCACATCAAGCATCAAACATGATATATGTACACACACACTACCGTTTAAAAAAAAAAAGAAATTAATACTTTTATTCAGCATGGATGCATTAAATTGAATAGAAGTAATAGTAAAAAAAAAAAAATCTTATTTAAATAAATGGTGATTTTAAAATATATCCAACTAGAAAACAGTTATTAGGAGCCAAGCACCGAAGGTCTAAAGGTTAAAATTAACAATAAAAGGTTTTTGATAAAAACCAACAGTTCTCAAAAAACGCACAAACGAATTCGACAAAATAAAAATGGATGTGAGGCTATATCTCTCTGCAACACTTGAGCGTATAGAGACTTGAGACTTGGTACATGTCATCACAAGCATAGATATCCATAATAAAGGCTAGATGTCTCGTCCGCGCTGCTGGCGGCCATCTTGTCACAGGCAGCTCGCTCACTCGTAACATTGTGTTTTAATGGTGCATGTATTTTTTAAATAACCATAACTTGCTCAATTTTCTACCGATTTTCAAACGGTTTGGTTTGTTATAAACGTCAGAGATGTAGTTATGACACTGCACACTTATGAATAATAAGTGTATCAATAAATAATCATCCTGAATTATAGCCACGTTAATAACGTTTGTAAGAAACCAAACCGCTTGTAAATCCGTCAAGATTTCAACGAGATAAGAGTATTTGTGTTCGTGCTGATCACTCATCTTACATCAGGTACCACAGAGCCTGCCAGAAAGCTTGCCTGTGACAAGATGGCCGCCGGTGATGACGATAGAGACTCCGCCATAAGACATCTAGCCTTTATTATGGATATCTAAGATCACAAGCATGAACTGAGGCTATCTGCAGCGTTTTGGCACAGCGCCTCTAACTGGTCAAGAGATATAAAAAAAATAGCTATTTTTGCTTATAACTTCTGAATGGTTTGCCAAAAATCAACAACGTTTGATTCAGTTGAGTAAACAGAGTCGAACAATATCTAATGTTCCTATATCGCCTATTTTGGATGCCGACCATTTTTAATTTTGACGTAAAAAGCTCTATTTTATAAACGTATTGTCGTATGGATACTTACAAGGGAAGTGTCATCGGCACTGTGCCCTGAAGGTACTCAAAAAGTTGAGACAAGGCCACCTTGTGGGCAAAAGTTAAAATGAAAAAAAAAATGCTAATAGCTATTGATTTATTTTAATGTATTTAATGCGTTTTGATGAATTTGATTGCGTTTTGATGATTTTTTTTTAATTCAATTTGACTTGATAGATTCCTTGAGTCATTGCGAGAACAATGATACCAGTTATGCCATTGTTGGTCAAATTTCTTTGAAAACCTTCTTTTTCAAACTCCTCCTAGACCGATGGTCCAATTTTCACCAAAATTGGCTCAGATCATCTTCAGTCCACATTGGCAAAAAGTTATTAAAAGCTTTTTGATAGACAAAACCTTTATCAAATAACACATCAACAAAATTGTTGGCATTATGCCAAGCTGATTCTGAGGCTGTAACTGCACAATACTTTGGCGTATTGACACCAAACTTTGTACGTGTCATTGTCACCTCACACTGACCACACAATATTAATTTGGTAACAGCACCACCTATTGGTCAAAAATGAAAAGCAATTAAATTGTATTACTAGTGATTGTATTTATGCTCTTTCAACCATTTTTCATGTTGTTGTTGTTTAAATGCAGAGGCTCTGTTCTTTCTTTAGATATATTGCATGTTCAAATATTCATACAACAAAATGTTATGAGGATCAAAAACTCTGGAGTTGGCTGGCAACTTTTAAAAAAAAAATGCGGTGAAAGAGCTAAGAAGGGAAAACACAGTAAAAATCAAATTAAAAAGTAAGTATTAGGTTTTTTTTTAAAAAGTCTCTTTTTCTTGAGGAAGCAAACTACAGTCCAACTCACCTGATATCCTGTCCTGGACGGGCCTGAACCAGGATCCTCACTTCCAGCTCCTCTGTACCCTGTAATTCATAACCAACCATGGGTTGGTAATTCATAACCAACCCATAACCAGACACCTGTATACTAATGAAAGACACTGGACTTTCATTTATATGCAAAGTTCCTACACACTTTTTAGAAGGTTGTATGTGTTGTGTTTCTTGTTTTATCCTTATTAAAACCATAACACAAAACATTTTTCCTTAAATATTTACCTTAAAAATCCTGCTGTATAATTTATTGTAATTATATAGTTGTAGATTACTTGTGTTTTTTTTTTATTGTGTTTTTTTAATAAATATATATATATATTTTTTTTATTATTGTCTTTGAACACTTTGAAGTTTCACTCTCGGGTCAAAATACGTGAAAATTGCCCAAAGAAAGTAGCTAATACTAACAAAATGGGCAGCATCCTCAAAAGGTAGAAATTACTCAAAATTAACCATATCCCTAAAATAAAAGCTTTTGTATTTTTAGTAGGGCTGAACGATTAATTGCATTTGCGATAATATCGTGATATGCTGAAACGCGATTTTTAAACCGCAAAGGCTGCGATTACACTCTGGTCACGTGACACGCGAGAGAAAAGCAGTCTGCAGATGTAGCATCAACTTGGCACGCTACGCATATAGGCCTGGCATATACAGGAAAGAACAGTTTATGTTTGATTTTATGTGATATTATGTTGTAATATATATATATATATATATAATTAATATATAATGTATAATAATATATTCAGAGAATTTCAGACTCGAGTCTGAGCTTATAGTTTTTAAACAGATGCGTGATGACGCTGCGTGTGCTTTAGAAACAGCCGTATTCTGCCTCTCTCTCTCTCTCTCTCTCACACACACACACACACACGAAACCGCTCGAACCTTACGAAAAATAATCTTTCATAAAGTTCGGAAAGGTTTAGTTAAGCGAATTACAAGGACATTCGCGGGCTTTATCGCACTGGTGGCCGCTTTGCTTGATGTTACTCTTGCAGTTCGGGGTCTCGCCCGCCGGAATTTTCCTCACAAATGCTCTACTAAGGCATTATTTATGTCTTTTGGAATGCAGTTGGCTTATATATTAAAAATATGAAAATCACTGAGAAGGCTGCTTTCAATTTAAAATACTCACGCGCGCTTTGTGAAGAGCGCTCGCGCATGCGGCTGTGAGCGACTCATTGGTTAATGTACTGGCATCTCAAAATGCTTTTATGATGCGAAATGAATGTAAACACGGTCAGTCATATCTTAAACCAACAGGACAAACCACATCTTATATTTCAAAAGGGATCTGTGCACTAGTGTGAATGCAGCTTATCGTATCTAAACTGAGAAGACAAATCACTCACAGCTCTTGAACGTTCAGACAGCCATACTTTTAAATACTGAAAGCACTCTTTGTTTATTGCTTGTAATATGTTTGTTTTTCCTCTTTATTTACTAGCTTTTATATTTTGAAGCTATATTCGTTTATATAGCCCATTTAAAATTCTTAACATGTTTTTTTAATAATTATTTTTAAAAATACGTATAATTACACAAATAAAGTTTTTAACTGTTATTAATAATATTAATTACGAAAAAAAAGTATATCATGAGGTGCCTAAAGATTCCCATCCCTACTATACAATGATTTATTGCTTGTCTTTGTCGAATAATACAGAAGATAAAGAACTTAAAAAGTAATCGCATATTAAATCGCAATCGCAATATTGGTTAAAAAAATCGCAATTAGATTATTTTCCAAAATCGTTCAGCCCTAATTTTTAGAATACTTTTACTTTTATGAATACTTACTTTTATGAGTAAGTTAAAAGTTATTTATTAGAAGTTTCTATTTATTTATTTACATTTATTTAGAAATATTGTATATTAATTAAAATAGTAACAATTATTTTGTGCTTGAGAATGTGATATACTTACGTCTTCAGACTCTCGTAGCAGTTCTGTGTCTTCTACTTGCACTACAGCGTCTGCACCACATGGGATAGGAGCACCTGTCGTCACCCTCATCACCTGGCCTGGCATAACTGTGAGAGTGGGCTACACACAGAAAAAGACCCTTCACCACTGTATCAAAAAAAAACATACATGTGTACAGCTTTGGTGTGGAAGCAAAACACTGATGTTTTGTCCTTCTGATACTGGGTTAAATTGCATTTATTCACATAAAATAACATATACACATACATAGTACATTGCTATCTGTATGGCATCAGCTGAGAAAGCAACAGTACAACAGAATGACCCAAGACACAAATGCAAACACACACACGCACTCTGTGGACGTCAGCCATGAGCACTGGAGTGCTGGCCTGCACTCTGCTGCACACAGCCCACGGGGATCACCCCCCCCCCCCCTCTCTCTCTCTCTGTGTAATGCACTCATTAAACACGCTCACTGATTCTGAGTTTTCTTGCCATCTGAGCACACAAGTCTCCTGCAGATGCAAGGTGCCAGTGCAAAAGCAGGCATTTCCAGGGTATGTGTAAGGAAGAGAAACTCAGCATGTTCACATCAGGTTTTCATGGCACAACAGTGTAAGAAGACTAGTGAGTGTTAGCTTAACTCACCTGCTCCCCAGCCTGAGACTCCCCGATGATGAAGCGATCACCAGGGCCATCAGCAGCTGAAAAACAGTAACAAGAATAACTCACAGAGTTATTTTCAGCAGGTTTACAGGTTTGGTGAATGAGATTCTAATGGTAATAAGGTTAAGAATAAGGTTGTTATATCCAGTGGTGGAAAGAGTAATAAAATATTCTACTCAAGTAAAAGTACTACTACTTCAATGAAATTTTACTTAAGTACAAGTAACAGTACTGGTCTAAAAATCTACTCAAGTAAAAGTAAAATGTAGCCCATTTAAAATTTACTCAGAGTAAAAGTTACTGAGTTACTTTTTTAACAGCGGGGGTGGGGTGGGGGACTCTCCCGTGTAGGCTTGTAGGAGATTTTCACAGTATGATAATGTCTCAGAAAATATCACGGTTTACAGTATTAATGAATTATTAAATAAACTGAATTATTAAATTATGGTTATTATTATTATTATCATCAGTTAAAATGACAGTTAAATTAATGAAAACAGGGGGTTTTTTTGGTTGAAAAAATGCTTTTTCTATAACAAACTTGAAACCATTTGTTTGTTTTGTTTATTAAAATTTCAATAAAACATGTCTAATCAATTAAATTCAATTATTGATAATGAATTAGATTAACAACTTATTTTTTAACATTAATAATTTATTAAAATGTTTAAGAATAATATAATCCTATGAAATGTATTTTATTCAGAAAATTAATGTTTCTTTTAACGATTTAATCCAAATATATTATCAAAAACGGTGGTAATCAAATGTAAATTTAAACTTGTGTCCTTTTATTTTTTGGAGAAGCGCTGCAAAAACAGATTTACTAAATGAAACCATGGACAAAAAAATATATCCCTTTAAATAATGTTTAAATAAAATGTATTATTATTGTTGTTATTATTATTATTTTGAGAAGTACGTTCTATTGTAGCTATGCCTACAATAGTAATATATTTCGGTTAGAATTTCTCCTAGTAAAACGTACTTTTATTTTGACATGTTGTAGTGAAGACCTGTTTCAAAGTTTATTTGACAATGGTTTTTCTCAATTATGAAAATGCTCATTAGGCGTTCTCTCAGAGCAGCTCTGGAAATGTTCATGAATTCATATCCTCAAATGGTTTGTGAGACGCTGAAAACACCATGAACGTTACGCGTACTTGAGTATGTAGTAGACAAAGCGGCGCAGCTCAGCAGAACAAATAGGTTATATATTTACATGCAGTATTTTTGTGCTTAACTATTCACAGACCATGTCGCGATTGGATTTATTGCACAGTTCTACTTTCCATGTATTTATCCATCCATTATTTTGCGTGTTTTACGTGACATCTGCGTTGTAAATTCCATTTTCATGACTGGATTCCGGGATTCCCTCTGCATCACGTAAGTCATTCGGCCTTAAGTTATACTAATCGGGACATAGCCTAAGTTACCTTTATCTGCAGGAGGGATGGTGTCCTATGTATCCTCCTTTTGTAGCCACTTTGCGTCCACATTTTTTGCAAATTGGATATCTATCCTCGAGGACAACCACGCGTTTTTTCTACAAAGTATTTCCATACTGGCCATAATTCGCTTCACAAGAATTCGAGGGCGCTTCACTTTCAGCTTTCAGCTCAGCTGGGTCTGCGTCACCTTTCTTGCGCGTTTGTTCTCCCGCCCTTCAACCAATGCAGTTGTTTCCGGAGAGTGATTTTTTTTTTCTCCCTTGTATTATTATTTTTTACTCAGTAACGGATATGATTTCAAATGTAGCGAAGTACAATACTTCAGACAAAACGTACTTAAGTAAAAGTAAAAGTACAGATTTGAAAAACTACTTAAAAAAGTAGAAGTACACAAAAAAACGACTCAATTACGTAACGCGAGTAATTGTAATTCGTTACTTTCCACCTCTGGTTATATCTTATTAAGCGTATTATGATAAAGTATTATGGGTAAAAGGGAAATAATCATAAGTTCTAATGAATATGTCAATTACACCTTTTTTATTGGCACAGTGCAGGTGCCAATTTGGCCCTGTTCCAAAAGGTGGCGGACCGGAAAATCTGCTCTTTAAACTTGGTCAACTTGTTGTTGAACTGCAAACATCATATGTGTGAAATGATGTATATAGATTTGATTGGTTGATGTATCTACCTCCTACATATATACATTTAATGGTGGTATAAAATTACCTTGGATGTTAAAACTTTCTCAAAATGTTTGTTTGTGTTTGCAGGCATTTGTTTGGGCAATGTGAACTACCCTGAACACTAAATGTGCAAATGTATGTTTATGGGCAGGTTATATTATATATAATCAGTTATGTGATCGCTCTGCTCTTAAGTCAGTATAAATGCGGTACAGACTGAGAGAGGTTGGAAAATCTCCAGACCGAGCACGGTTCTAGCAAGTAAGAAGCACCATTTGGGTGGAAAAGGGGTAAACGAGACTGATTGTGTGAATTTGGCAGAAACTGGTAATCACCTCGAACAGCATAGCCATCTTTAACTGATGCAGGGAAAGGAGGCAGGTTGTCTTTGGCGTAGACGTCCTGAGCCAGAACTCGACCCATTCCATCTACAAACAAAAAAAAATCTGATGAACTCATACAATCATGAATACAACAACAAAGAAAGATAACTTCCTTGTAAAAGTCAGAAAGGGAAAATGTGCCTAGATCAGAGGCCAGCAAAAGAATGCAAATGCATGAGAAAGCAAATGCACACATGCAGCCAGACAACAGACATGAACAGAGGGATGTAAAAACAAGGACAGTGCATATTATGATGTACACTCTCTTAACTATTTTAATAATACAATGAATGCATGCAAGCTAACAGGTTAGCATATTAGCTTAGCATACTGCTAATTGACAAACATGTCGCTAATTGACAAACCTGCTAGCCTTGCACATACACTCGCAAAAATTATACACCATTATTTGTAGTAGCTACAGTAGGTACTCAACCAGAATGCCTATTACCGCCGCGACTCGTGCCGCGGCAAATCCACCGCGGCAAAAATAAACTAGTCGCATTTCAAAGTCCTTCGCGAAATGACCGCCAGGTGGCGCAAAGGGGCATTTAGCAAAACAGCCGCAATTGCCGCATTTTGAAACGGGCTAATGTCAATTAACAGTAAGGATGAAATAGTTGAGACTGATTGAATATGTAAAAAATAAAATAAAAATAAACAAACGAAAGAGAATAGAACAAACCATTAGAACAAAAAAATAATAAAAATATAAATAGATTAACCTATAGGCTAACAGATTCAGTTAAATTAAACGAAAGCAAAACGTAAAGTAAAAGTAGGCTACATTTAAACAGAATATAACAAACTTTTAGAGCAGAACATTTTATGAATCAAAAGTTAAAATAGGCCTCTCTCGCAATTAGGTGCAATGACGCTAAACTATTGAGGAATGAGAGGATTGAAGAGCGCTTCTCTCGTGTGCGCGCACTGACTGCTGAAATACCGAACTTCTGGGAAATTTTCAGTGAGAAAAGTTGTGGTCGAGTGGTAGAACTTAGGTTTCAATAATTTAGATGACACGGGTTCAAATCCTGTCCAAACAGGGTAGCCTATTTATAAAATACAATTCCATGCATTTCCATTTTACACAAAGGAACAAATATTATCCAACAGATTGACTGAATTTATATCAATCTGTATAATAATTCCAATCGTAATTTCAAAAGCAGTTCTGTAAAAAAAACAGAAAAAAAAAAACTTCATGGGGTTCCATAGGCTACGTTTTTAAAAACATTGTGTAACAAGGTGCTATATGCTGGTGGGGGATTTCCCCCCAGTAATCAATGCTTTGCCTAATTCACCAATAGACCATATCAAATATATATATATATATATATATATATATATATATATATATATATATATATATATATATATATATATATATATATATATATATATATATATATATATATATTTAAAATATGCAACACGCACGTTTAAACAACAAACAATAAAATCTGAACCGGCGCTTCTGCTCCTGTATTGAGAGATAACATGCAGCGCGTTTCAGTTACGATCCTGGTTCCAGTGGCCTTAATACATTCATGGCTTTTCAAAATGTCACAAAGCGTTTTGAGATGTTTTTGAATGAAATATTGAAGTTTATAATTAAGTGTTTTGGCACATCACGCCGAGTGGCGCTACGCATTATTCTAAAGTCGGGTTTTATTCTGGCATGTTGAAATAGAGTTCAACAAACACGGCGGCGCTTTCACTTGAATTTATTTTTTCTCATAACAGCTAAAAGAACTTTCTAGGATAGAAGCTACCCTACTCCGTAATTTTTGGTCATACAGATAAGATATCATCTTTTAAAACAGTAAAAGGTCTACAATATGCTAACGATAAAACGTTAGCCGAGTGGAAGAACTTACGATTCAATCATTTAGATGACACGGGTTCAAATCCCGCACAAACATGGACTTTTGTCAATTTTATATTAGCCTATTAATGCATTTTATATCCTATTATTAATGCAGAGAGATTTGTCTAGTTCTAAAACTCTGTTATGCACCATATAGGCCTAGTTTTTGCTTATATTATAAAATAAAATTGCCATGCATTTCCATTTTACACTGGAACAAATAGTATCCAACAGAATGACTTAACATCTAATACCAATCGTAATTTCAAAAGCAGTTCTGTAAAAAAAAAAAAAAAAATTATATATATATATTAGGGGTGTAACGGTACATGTATTCGTATTGAACCGTTTCGGTTCGATGCTTCCGGTTCGGTACGCATTCAAACCGAACGATTCCTTGGACCATTTTTCCTGCCGACAAAATTCGCGCTGGCGCGATCACCACAACGTTGCGCAACATCAAATGGCAAGCGTAATGAAAGCGGAACGAAACTGCGTTACTCATTATGTGCTTCACGGGTCGTTTATCAGTTCGGACCAGCAACATCTGTGCAGCGCGAGCCGATCGACTCGATCAAGCGACACTGTTACAACACAGCGCTAAGATCCAGTAAAGAAAACATTTGAATTCGCCACTGAAGTAATAACATTGCTGCGAGATCTAGTGAGAAGCATTCACATTTCTCCGTTATTAACCGTAGATCTCTATTAGATCAAACAGCGCTGACGTGGGAACCAGGAGAAACATTGTGCCGTGAATGAACTAGTAATACTTTACGTCCACAGACCAGCAACATTCACCATGGATTTAATATAGTAACACTCACTGTAACCAGTTTGGCTGGAATAGTGAAATGCTTTCAAGTACTTCACACATCTTTTTCCAGCACTTCAAACCTCAAATATTATATAAATAAATATAAGAGTTCAGATGCAAACGCCTCTAAGTGCCATTTGAAATTTTCTTCTAGAATGATCATTTTTATGAAGCTTGTATATTTAAGTTCAGTAATTTCACTCAAATGACAATTAATAGGTAATCTTCATTGCCATTTAAGTGAAATTACTGAACTTAAATATACAAGCTTGATAAAAATGATCATTCTAGAAGAAAATTTCAAATGGCTTTTGCATCTGAACTCTTCATATATTTAAATGTTATTTTTAATGTGATGACCAAAACATTATTTGTTCATCCTTCAAAGATGACCCCCATTTATAAACCTGAAAGTTTCAAGATGTAGGAAAACTCACACTTATTTAAAAAATATTTTTTTCTTTTAACAAATAGGAAATTTCTCTGGCATTTCTTACTTTTTGCTGTATCGAAAACGTACCGAACCGTGACTTTAAAACCGAGGTACGTACCGAACCGTGATTTTTGTGTACCGTTACACCCCTAATATATATATATATATATATATATATATATATATATATATATATGTATATGTATATGTATATATATAGCCTATATAGCCTATTTTTTGGATTCCCTACATTGAGTTTTTATTTAAGCAAGGTGCGATTTGCCAGGGGGGACGGGGATTTCCTTCTGGTCTAAACATCCCTGCTTCTGCTGAATTATTTTAACCCCCCACCCCCTTCCTCCGCAGTAATCAGTGCTAATAGGCTTAGGCTACTTCACCAATAGACCATATAAAATATATAAAATAAAGATATGCAACAGGCACGTTTAAACGACAAACAATAAAATCAAAACCAGCGTTTCAGTTACAGTAGCCTACGTTCGTGGTTCCAGTGGCCTTAATGTAGGCCCTATGCACGGCTTTTCAAAATGTCACAAAGCGTTTTGAGATTATTTTGAATGAAATATTGAAGTTTATAATTAAGTGTTTTGGCACATCACGTCGAGTGTCGCTATTTTTCTAAAGTCGGGTTTTATTATGTTGAATTAGTGTTCGACAAACGCGGCGGCGCGTTCACTTGGATTTATTTTTCTCATAACAGCTAAAATAACTTAATAGGCTACTAGTAAACTTTTATTCATATTAGGCTAACAAAATTTTTGCTGTCGTCTCTGTCTCCGGGAACTGCTCGTCACAAAACTGAACCGAAAGCCGAGGATATACTTAAACATGTTTAACTATGTGAGCGCTTAGAAATGAGGAAAGGACAAGGCAAGGGGAAAATCTCGCTCTAATTAAATAGGCTAAATCGCCCTGAATTAAAATGTAAAAACAAATCAAATAATTTATTTGTCGAAATGTTGCGCTATTGTTTCATTTAAGTTCATAATTATTCTATAAATGTTATTTAGTTTAACAGCAGCACAACTAAGCACTGTGGTTCGAGATTTATTTGAATAAAAAAGAAAAACTTATTGAAATTGAATGAATTATTGAAATTAAATATTTAGTAATAAAGTTTCATGACAGAAATATCACTACATGTAGCTCACATTATTTAATTCCTTCATTATCAACACTTTAATAGCCTAATGCTAATGTCTAATAGCGGTTTAAGTGTGAATTGCGACTTCTTGTTTTAAGTCAGTCTCAGATTCAGAGAGCCTGTGGGGGTTTGGAGGGACAGTGGCTTTATCGTGCGTGCACAATAGGTGTTAATGTTCGTCTTTCATATGGAGATGTCGGATAGCCAGCCCAATGAGCAGGCAAAGGCTAAATTCTTTTAAGGATAAATCTCTCGATGTGTCCAAATGTAGGCCCTATATCTTATTTAATTATAAATATAGTGTATTTTTTTTATTTAAAGTTTTTCACACAAAATTTAAATTAAAGTGTTCAATCCAGTTGTTTCAACTGTTTTTATAAAGTTTTAGAATGTTTGAAGCAGTGAGTATGATTGTCAACAATCTGGCATTATCTAAACGTTAACTGTTGACGAAACGAAGCAGATAAAGAGCTCTTTAATTCAACCTCGTTTTATTGTAAGTGAATACAACAAGGCATGCTGTGTCTTTGAAGCAACAAAGGCAAAATCATTTGTTACTGGTTTTTTTATTATTATTTTTTTGTAGGGAGACAAAATAAACTTTGCTAAAAAGAGATCCAGCGCAAGAGAGAGGCAAAGAAAAACACATGTTCTTAATTTATGTCGTTTTGTTCGTTTTGTACTGTTTTAATTGTTTAATTAAGCTGCAATTTCTTTGGCAATACAAATTTAAAATATTGCAAGAATAAGATTCTGTGTT